TTTTGTACTTCAATGCATGTACAGGTCACTGGTAATAAATAGTTCAGTTGCTAACCTCTTAATTATTTCTCGAGGCATGTAACATTATTACGAAAATCATGTCTCCGTTCTAAACATATCTCTGCTTTTCCATTTGCTATTATGGTAAACAATGACATGAGCTGTGTTACAGGTTAAGAAGGTTGGCAAAGTCGCCAGAGCTATTGCTATAATGAGCCACCCGATTCCTAATACCAATGATTCTAACTCGGCACAAGTTATTTTACCTCAGAAGCAGTTGGGTCGCAAATCGGACATGTGAGTAACTTATCTGATCTTGCCCTAAGATTGCAATCTAAAAATTCTCAATTTCTGATACGGCTTGGTTGTTATGCAGGTATCTATTTTGTTGCTCGTATTCCCACAATGTTGCTCCAAAAGGGAAATATATTGCATTTGTCTCAACTGAAGCGGAAACTGATAACCCTGAGAACGAACTAAAGCCTGGTATTGATCTTCTTGGGCCCGTGGACGAGATATTCTTTGAGACCTATGACAGATTTGAACCAGTCAACGAGGCTTCTGTGGACAATTGCTTTATATCGGCAGTAAGTTCTACCGGATTTTGTTTCTTATTACAGTGCTTAATCATCTATATTTTAATAGTGTATAGTTGCTAATAAATTCTAAATTACAGAGTTATGATGCCACAACTCACTTTGAATCCACCGTTGTGGATGTGCTGAATATGTATTCAATGATTACTGGAAAGGTGAGTTGAACCTTTTGCTCCTCATTTTTATAAGGTGCTTCGCATTTTTATACGACTCTGAATCTCCTAATTCATTCCGTCTCTCCCCCTACCTCTCTCTTGTGCATATTCATACTATACACTCTCTAGGTCAAAAGATCTTAGCTATTATCATTTATCACAGATGTTCTTTTAGAACCACCCCTTGACCATCATAAATTTACTGTTTTATTTCGAAAATGTCCGGTTTTTGTGGATAATATACAGTGATTCATATTTTTCTTTTCGTTTCAGATTCTCGATCTTAACGTGGACTTGAGTGCTGCAAGTGCAGCTGAAGAGTGAGAAAACTATTTTTTCCCTTGTCCTTGCACGTGCTTGAGTTTTATCCCCTCGATATCTTTAGGATAAGCAGTTGAAGATAGACTTGTCAAACTCTCTTTCTTAAGTTCTCTTTATCAAATTCAAGTTTCCAATCTAAATGCACCTTTCAGTTTTGTTTTCTTTGATTAAGATATAGAGCGAGTTATCTGCCTATGAAATCCAAATACATATCCTGAATTTTACAACTGCAGAAGAAGTATTGCAGTGATGAGTTTTTATTTTATAAATTTGAAAACATTTTTTTTTTTATTTCGAAAACAATTTGAAAATACAATTTTTTTATGAAAGCATCTTTGAAAAATGAACAATCTATATCTATACTATCTGGAAAAAAAAAAAATACCAATACATATAGCAGTATAGGTTCCTCTCGTTCTTTGCAAGAGTTAAGGTTATTAAGTACACTTTGCACCCTAAAGTATAGCCTATGCAACACTTCAAATAAATACTTACTGTAAGATTTGAAGGGCAATTAAGTAATATAATCTGACAATCATACTGTTTGGATAACACTTGGGCTCCATTTAACTCTTTCTTTCCTCTTCAACATTAATCAGATTCTTAAGAGTTTGAGGCAAACTATTGTGCTCTTGTGTACACTATAGTTAGTTTTCACCATAAATGTATACACCACAATCACACACGTATACGAGTAGTTATCTATACACAAATATGGTGAGATCTTACCTGATAAATTTCAGTGGGCGCAGCATCTAGCAAACCAGCTATGATCTATACGTGTAATGAGCTTCCAAAAAAATATCGTCGAATATATTTTCGGAATAGAAATGTGAGAACCGCAAACATATTAACACTTGAAACTATTATTGAAATTTCATCACTTGAATCACACAACCAAGGCTTCACATTAGCCTATGCGTGTAAAATTCAAAAACAAATACGAAAAATGTAGGGTTTAGTTTTACATCAAAAATCCCATGTAATGTAAATAACATAGAGCTACACGGGGTAGTAAATTATAACTCGAAAGGGAGGTACGTATAATGAATGACTCTGATGAATACAGCAGAACAATAATACATAAATAAAGAAGGGGTGAAAAAGAAAAAGACGTGATTTTAAACCATTTCAAATGTTTTTAAAAACAGCAAACAGATCTCCACCAACGTAGTCATTATCGACCAAGCTGACCAAGTAATAGCTGCTCTCCACCTGTACACACCCCCAAACAGTTCAAGAAAAAGAAAACATGTAATAACTACAAAATTAATTATTGACTTTTTTTTTTCTTTTCGAGATGTATTAAATCTAACCTCCTCGAGTAATTTCTTGGAAGGGTCAGCCTCTGGGTAGCGTTTAGCCCATCCCGGGGACCATATAGCAAAGGCTTCGTCTTTCCATATCATGAAACTTGCGGGGTCCACAACAGTAGGCTGGACGATTTCCTTTGCAGGGAAAACTCCCCAAGTGACAGCATTCACATCGGTTTTGTTTGCGTTAGATATCCAATTTCCTTCTTTGTTCACAGCCATGTAGGTAAGAGATGGGAAGAGTTTGCAGTTATTGACTAGAGCATTCAAACTATCCTTGGAGCAGAAAAATTCTAAGTATGCCTTCTGGTAGACATATCCACCTGGCCCACCCCATCCTGTAAGAACCGAAAATTCAATAACAGAGAAATTGGATCAACAACAATATATACATACAACTGATGTTAACATGCAATTAAAGAAAAAAATATCTAATAACAGTGAAGAAAAATTACCAACAGACGGGGAGTCAGAGCGGGCTCCATTAACAGCTGGTTGGCTGTTGATAGTGAGAAAGCCTTTCAAGTTAATGCTACCCAGCTGTTCGTTAATCACTTTAGTCTCTGGCTGAAGCCCGTCTAGGTCAGACCATGGACTGCTTTTGAGTTTCCCGAGGCAGAACTTCACGAATTTCTGATGCATTTAAAAATCCGTAAGGACTGGATATGTAATCATCGAACTTTTAAAGATGGTATAAGCTGTAATCAAAAGACGGTATCGTACCTCATAAATATCTTCAACATTTTTCAAAGGAACGGCCCATTCTTCGTTGAGTTTCTTATCACGCGAACGAGGCTTCATGAACTGTAAAATATTATTACAAGGTTTAATGACTGTTTTGCTTTCGGGTGGCAACAGAATATATGTACTTGCAACATGACAAGCCAAGCAAATTATTAGGATTTCATGGAAGTTCATGCCTGGTAATCAGTGAGAGCTCCATATGATGCATTTCGAGAATCTCCCCATCTACCATGTGGGAATTGGTCCCAACCAATAGTACGTGAGATATAGCTTTTGGGACGATTAGCCCTAACAATATTCGCCAAAGTAGATCAGTTGTCTATAAACTAGAATTTATGGACAAAAAATATGAAAGGTTCTCAATGTGAAAATAACTTTCTTACCAGAATATGGGACGAACATCTTCTTTTACACGGAAATAATTTGCTGGACGTCTCCATGGCAAAGATCTTGAAATTTTGGATTCCTCAATCAGCCCAAGGTTCTGCAAATAGAGATCTACTTAAGCCTCGTGTTTTCATTCAACCTAGTCGCATAAAGATTTAGTTCTGAAGCTACACAAATTGACAACTAAAGAAAACTAACCATCAATATTGCCAATGCAGATTTATCCATGTTTAATGTGTAGAGATGTACAGTTTTGATCCCACTGGCAATAATTTTCTTGCACATTTCTGTTCCTTGGTGAATTCCATAAGCCCTGACAGCTTCTTCATTATCCTTGATAGGTTCCAAGGCAGCCATAATCTCTGCTGGAATCTACAGTACAACATTGTATAATGTATAAATAACTGAATGGGTGGTTCAATGGCATACAAAGAATCGGTGGGACATCAAGACCACTATTGTTAACAACAGATGTACCAGAATAAATGTGAAATCAAATAATGTATCTACGAAATGCGAATAGACGACTTAATAGTAAACTCAAGCCCAAATTTTTATCTTGCATGAATGAGACAAGTAACGTAATTTGCTCCTGCTGATCTAGGAGCTGATGAGGATATGCATCATCCAAATTTCACAGATGAAAGCAAGATTCTGAAGTGAATCACAGTTAAATGTTCTAACAGAGGTTTAATGCACTTGACTCCCTGTCGTGCATGCTATAACGTTTGTGACCAAGAACTGTAACTCAAAGAAAATAGTACAGACTAGCTTTTGTCACTTCTCTTGCCAACATTATATGGATTGCAACAATTATTCAATCCAATGATTATAAAACCCAGTTAATACCATAATGCGTTTCAGAAATTTTCTCCCTTTGTGCAATAATATATGGAAAGGCAATTGTCAAGTGAATTTACTAAAATTTGTACGAAAACATCTTCTGATAGAAGAACTCTGAATCTACACTCTTACTAAACTTGTCATTCTTCTTACTGAAGCGGATTTTTATTATATAAAAATGACGTATGCTTTATAACCTAGGGAAATAAAATTTCTCATGTTTTCACCATCTAAAAACTGCTACTCAGAAGACACGAGCCTCTGAAGGCACACAAGCTACCACATTTTCATGAAGCTGGCATTATTGTTATAACGGATATTCGTTAAGTAAGAGAATCAAGCAGTCAGAGAAAGTTCAGCTCATACCTTAGTTTTGCAGAAACCAGTCATGCGAAGGAAGCCCTTGTAATTATTAATGGGCATAATACCAGGCACAATGGGACAGGTTATTCCAATTTGACGACAGTCATCGACAAATTTGAGGAAAATGTCAGTATCATAGAAGAGTTGAGTTACAATCACATCAGCTCCAGCATCAACCTACAAACGAAACATCACCAATTTAGTGAAACTAAAGTAAAACCAGTAAAAGATGCGGGTTACCTTTTTCTTGAGATAAGCAAGATCACTTTGATATGCCTCTGCCGATGCCCCTCCCTCCTGAATAACATCAGGGTGTCCCTCTGAATAAATGACGAGAGGATACAATACGAACAAATCCCAGTCAGATAGTTGATTGCAAATTGCAATAGGAATGTTTGACATAAACAAATTATACATAAATTTAGAGATTTTTTTTAAATTATTAATCACAGTAACAAAAACAAAGAATTAGCACCTGGATAACCAGCAACAGTAATCCCAAAGTAGTCACCATATTCAGAACGGATATGCTTGACCTGCAATTCGCACATACATTAATCACAGATCGAATCGAAGGTCCATTTACACATTCATCCATCTAATCGAAGCAAATCTAATGGTTACCAGGTCGAGTGCGCAAGCGAGCCCTCCCTCGACTTGGACGAACTTGTCCTGGCCGTGAGGCGGGTCGCCACGCAGAGCGAGAACATTCTGGATGCCGTTAGACTTGATGGAGGCCAAGGCGTGGTCGATCTTCTCGACGGGCATGTTGGTGCAGGTGAGGTGCATCATGGTCTCGACGCACACCATGTTCTGCATGCGGTTGGCGATCTCCAGAGTCAGATCCGCCGTGGATCCGCCGGCGCCCCACGTGATGTCGCAGAATGTAGGGTTGTGCACCACCATCCGCTCCATCCTCTCGAACAGGTTGTCCACGCCGTCCTCCGTCTTCGGCGGGAAGAACTCGAACGAGAACACCACCCGATCGTCATTCGCACGCGCCGCCTCCTGGATCTTCTCTATCACCTTCATCTTCACTGTTTCGAAAAAAAAAATAAAAAATCCAAAAAAAAATCAATTCAAAAACAAAATTCCAATAAATATTTATACAATTAAAAAAACAAAACTACTGGCGGAATGCAAAAAGGGGAATGTGAATTTGAGCTACCGACAAAAAATTCTCACCTGAATTAATCCTCAAAACCTAAAAAGTTAGATCGGATCTGTAAATGTTGCTATATAGCACTGATATGCGAATGGATATCTCACTGACTTTGGATTTATGAAGAAATAATGGGGATAGGAAGGTAGGTAGAGGCCGTCAGTGCTCCGTTAGTGTTGAGGGGCTAAATTGTCTTTACACATTACCGGCACCAACGATTGAACAGTCCAGAGGCTAAAGTCATTCACCAACCAACCTAAATAAAAGGAAATGACTAATCCACCCTCACCTCTTTCTTAAACGGTTGAATCTCTGTTATATCAGATGTTAGATGCAGTTTAGATTTAGGGTGGTGTTCGTGGTGGGTTCGCGCCATTATGTGTAATTGTGACTGATTGTGTTGCAATTGGGATTTTGTTATGTCTCAATAGTTTTTTTTTACAAAAATAAAATTGATATTATTATGTGTGTTTTGAATGAATATTAATGCATTAGTGAAAGTTTAAAGTTACTTTTACTATTAAAACAAAAAACATTAACTAAAATGGCATATAATTTGAAACAAATGGATGTATATGTAACATAAAATTAACCAAACTAAGTGAAGTATGAGTGATAAACAAAACTACAGTTATACCTCTAAAAATTAATACAATTGAGATTAATAAAATTATATTTTATTTAATAAAATATTAGATTATCGAATTAAGATTTTAATACATTGTCATCGAGTCGTGATCGGGATAATTTATTAGTTTATCGAGGTAATATTGTAAATAAAGTATGATGCCTTAGATTGTGGAGGTGGACTCATGAAAAGAAAAGGTGGGCTCAACTTCTACTATAAATAATTATCTACTATAAATAATTATCGATTGAGTTCTAAAAAGCCCATGGGCCATGTTCAACCCTTGTCTTTAGGTTTTAAGGTGAAAGATGTTTTGATTTGAAAATAATATATTTTTCTATCAATAGATATTTCTTCATGATGATCAAGTATCGATGCCACATCCAAAACAATAATTATGTTCATATCCCTCTCTCGTACCAATTCCGAACATATTCATACAACGAGGTCATATACACATCCCTAACCGATTCTAACGAGAGCCCCGAGTTAACGCATTAATTCAACCAATAGGGAACAATTAATTCCCGAGTTAACGCATTAATTCAACCAATAGGGAACAATTAATTAGGGTTCTATACAAAATGGGGATTATATAAATACCGGGGAAGTTGATCAGTTATGAGCTTCGAGTTAACGCACCAAGGATTATAACCAAGGATTATATTTATACTGGGAAGTTTATCAATGAGCAATTTGTATAATTAAATAATATTCGGGCCGGAACGTGAAAGTATAGGGCGTGAGCTGTGTTACTAGTCATCTTCTGGGGAACTTCTCCGAAGTATAGGGCGTGAGCTGTGTTACTAGTCATCCTCCGGGGAACTTCTTCGAAGTGGACGAACCTAGTTCTGCGGTAGTCATCCTCCGGGGAACTTCTTCGAAGTGGACGAACCTAGTTCTGCGGCAGCGGCAACAATGTGTGACGGACTTGTTCCTTTAGACAGCTTCTGCTGTTAAAGTGGACGAAGAAGTGGACGAACCTAGTTCTGCGACAGCGGCAACAATGTGTGACGGACTTGTTCCTTTAACAACGAATTAGTCATCATCTGTGGGGAACTTCTTCGAGCGTAATTCTGCGGCAGCAAGGTGTCAAGATAATATAACTTTGATTTGTTGGATTTGTTGGATTTGTTGAATTTGTTGCCTTACAACTACAAGATAATAGAACTTGGATTTGTTGGATTTATTGCCTTACAAATACAAATGAAATCCCTACTTCTATTTATACTGGGGCCACAACTTGGATTTGTTGGATTTGTTGCCTTACAAATACAAATGAAGTATTGTTCACTGGAACACTCAAAAAATTTCCTAAAAAATATCTAAAAGGGAGAAAAAAAATATCTACAAATGGAGGGTTATCGGAAGTTTTCTAAAATCCTCTAAGAATCTGTATCAAGTCTATTTAAACATAATTGGGCTTTTATGTAGATACAGATTAAACAAGAAAAAGAAGAAGACCATCGCCATCGGAAATAATACTTTTTAGTTATAATGATTCTTGAACTTTAATATTCATTTAATGTTCCAAAACAATAAATTAATCTGTTATGAGCCAAAACAATAAATTAATTTGTTATGAGGATTTTATCTGTTATGAGCCAAAACAAATTAATCTGTTATGAGGATTATTGTACGTAATTGTGTAAATGATAATCCCGGAATAGAATAATGGATCGATGGGATTTAAAAAGGGTAGTGGACTTGGTAAATTCAAGAAAGGGATGCGGATTCCTTTTCAGCCCGTCGTACGCCCTACAAGGTTGGCGCTGGGGAATTTTTTCGAGGTAGAAAAGCCTGATTCGATAGCAACGGGGAGTATTCGTAAGTCTCAAATCGAGTTACTTAAGGCTTGGAAAAAGGCTCTCAAAGAATTGGACAAGGCACGGAGCAGATGACGAAGAGCTCAATAATGGAAGTAGAGAAAAGATGACGAAGAGCTCAATAATGGAAGTAGAGAAAAAGTATTCTGTTAGAAGGAAAGACCTGTCTAATGAGGCAAGGCCCATTTTCAGACAGCCCCTAAGAAGAATTAGGTTTCTGCTGCAGTAATAAAAAAAGGCTTACGTACAAACAAACTTTGTTTTCATTAGTTCTTGGGTCCGATAAAAACGAGTGAGGGACGAACGGAAAATATTATATCGCAGTCTTTTTTTACCAGTGAATGTTGTTGTGTAAATGACTTTTTTTTTTTGTTGTCGACTGATATTCAATTCTTCGTTTATGCGTTTCGTTGTGATCTTTGCCCATTACTTGCAGAAGTTGGATATGAGTTTAGTGTCTTACTTTAAAGTTTAAAGCTATATTGATGGGAATCGGGATCGAGGCATAACGGGGGAAGATTTAGTTTGTGATATATCTATTTCCTAGGTTTTGTGTGGCAAGCAATTGAATTTGATGTCTGATGGGACAACAATGGTTTGCATTTGAATTGTTCTCGTGTAAATCTGCTTGTAAATATCGGATTGTGTTGCATCGTAAACTGTATTTTTGCACAATACAGTATAAGTTAGAGAACATTTTACGAAATCTAAAAGTTTCTATTGGATTAGACATTATAAGGATGAACTCGTAAGAATATTCATAGTTGATGGTTGATTGTAATTTTTTAAACATAATTTTTTTTCTCGTAATTTCACCTTAACTTACAAGTCCTAATTTACCAAAAAAAAAAAAGTTAAATAATAAAAATAATATAATTTACCGTTTGAGGGGGTTAAGCTGTCATACCAAATATACTGGAATATTTTTAATAAATAATTAAGTAAGAAGCAGAAAAGGTATGTGTAATGAGCCGTTATTGGGGCACAATCGGCCAGTATTGTGTAAATTAAAATAATAAATAAATAAAATAAAATAAAATGTAAATGTAAAAAGCAAAAAAATGGGCGGAGAAAGAAACGGGGGAAGTAAAAAGCGTGAAGCTTCGAGGCCGGGCCTTTGTTTTTCTCGTGTACTAAAAAATCCAAAAGCCGAAAATTCTCTTCTTTCTTACTCCCGCAACCCCAGAATCAATCAGATCTACTCTTCATTTCTTCTCAATCCATTCGCTTTTTCAAATATCACTGTATCCAAGCACCGCCGGAATTGCCCGTTGTTTCTGAATCTGATCAAGCGTATTCTGCTGTGTTTTTTTTTCCTTGCCCACCAGCTGTTTGTGTTATTGTGAGTGGATGAATCGATTTCATTGCGCGAGCTCAATGTGAGATTCTTTTCTGTTCCGACACCACATTCGTTCCGGTCTCCCCCTTTTCCTTCCCGAGGGGCGGATCTGTTGGTGTTTTTTTTTTTTTTTTTTTTTTGGTTCTTCGATTGGAGTTTTGATTGCCGGCGAGGAGCTATTTGCTGGTTTTACTACAGTAAATTGAGGTTGTTAGCGAGTGTGGAATCGAAAATGGAGATAGACAGGAAATCACCGTCTTCATCAGTGTCCGATGTCGGTGCTTGGGCTATGAACGTCATCAGTTCGGTCGGAATTATCATGGCGAATAAGCAACTCATGTCCTCCGGCGGCTATGCTTTCACTTTCGGTGAGTCCTCTCTCAGTTTGATCAATCTCTTCTTAGATCTCAGCTATCTCCTTTTTTTTTTTTTTCTCCACCTTAGTTTTGCGTTTTTGATTTCAATTGCAATAAATGAATTCGGAAGTTTTGTTGCACTGATGATGTATTTGTTGGGAAATGAACTCAATTCACGAATGCAGTGGATCTGGATTTCACGATAGGGCCCATTCTGCCATGTTCACTTTATTCCAATTTGCAACCCCCAAATCTTATTAATCATTATTTTGCAGTAGCTTTATTACCGATTCAGGTCTCAGTTATTCGTTTGGCTTTTGTGCAGTGTCACTTCACTAAAACTGAATTACGTAATAACGAAGCGTTGCTTGTTCTTGGGGTTTACTTGTTCAGCACATATGGTTATTTTAGCTTCAAAATGTGATTTTTTTAATTTCCGTGTTGTCTGGTTATTTTTTCTATTTTTCCTTTTCAAGAATTCGACAGTATCGAACTCCACGATCTATTTTAACTGACTGCATTTTCTCAGTTATAGTTAATAACCGTTGCATTGATTTCATATTTTTGGTCTCCCTGCAGCCACAACATTGACTGGTTTCCATTTTGCTGTCACTGCACTTGTTGGCATGATATCAAATGCGACGGGATTTTCCGCATCAAAGCACGTACCATTCTGGGAACTCCTCTGGTTCTCAATTGTGGCAAATATGTCTATCACAGGGATGAATTTCAGCCTCATGCTAAACTCAGTTGGATTTTACCAAGTACGGATCAATAATTATCCAATATTATTTGTGCTTAGGTAGATGGTGGTTTTTAAAATGGTATTTTCAAGTGTTCCTTGCTCAAACATTCTATTAATCTAGTACAAGTTTTTGTGTTTTTTTTAATTGGTGATAGTGCTTTAACTCCATGTGTCGTATTTTTTATCCCAAAAAAATGTCGAAAAACTTAACAAGAATTACATTCTTCTTATTATAGTTTATAGTATTAAATTCGTCAATGGAATCTGCCTATGTGAATTATCTTATCTGCCATTTCAACTAATGATTTCTTGCGTGTTTTATGTAGATCTCAAAGTTGAGCATGATTCCAGTGGTATGTATAATGGAATGGATCCTTCATAACAAGAAGTACTCAAAAGAAGTTAAAGTGGCTGTTGTGGTAGTTGTCATAGGTGTGGGTGTCTGCACCGTGACAGATGTGAAAGTGAATGCCAAAGGATTCATATGCGCTTGTGTCGCAGTTTTTGCAACATCCTTGCAGCAAATCGTGAGTAAAACTGCAATTTTCCTCATTTTGTTCTACTTAAAGTGCAAAACATTGGAGTTGGTTTAAATTCTCTTGGTAGTTTCCAAATCTTATTGAAAGTTTTTTAATATTGGGATTTAGTTGCGAAGATTTGTATTTACACTTTACTAGATAAGCAGAAAATGTCCATCCTTCAACGAATAAACGTATCTTTTGCTAAATAAAAAAATAAGGAAATCAATGTTTCTCTCTCCTACATATATTACATGCTTATGGATAACGATTCGACGATATTTTTTCTGGTTGCAGTCAATAGGCTCCCTGCAGAAGAAGTACTCTATCGGATCATTCGAACTATTGAGTAAAACCGCTCCTATCCAAGCATGCTCTCTCCTTGTACTTGGCCCGATAATCGACTACTATCTTTCCGAGAAACTAATTTTCGACTACAACTTTGGTTTTGGAGTCACAGTGAGTGTCCATCCAATTTGCTTCTCAACTCTTCAACATTTTCGATAATACGTTTGTAGTGTATATATTATCTTAACATGAGGTGGCAAATTTTTTTTTTTTTAATTACAGTTATTCATACTCCTATCATGTTCGCTAGCTGTGTTCTGCAACGTGAGCCAATACCTATGCATAGGCCGTTTTTCCGCCGTTTCTTTCCAAGTTTTAGGTCACATGAAAACAGTGTGCGTTCTTACATTGGGATGGGTGCTCTTCGATTCCGAGCTTACGTTCAAGAACATCATGGGCATGCTTGTTGCAGTTGCGGGCATGGTTATTTACAGTTGGGCGGTCGAACTCGAAAAGCAGGCTAATAACAAGATATCTTCACATGCGAAAAACAGCTTGACAGAAGAGGAATTCCGATTGCTCAAGGAGGGACTAGAAACAACTCCTCTTACGGATACCGAGCTCGTCGCTTCGAAGGTGTAGGGCAGGTCCCGTTATAGTTTTGTGTAGTTTATATAGAAGTTGTGGTTATTTATTTTTATTTATTCAGCAAGTAAACCTTCTATTTATCCTATGTTATAGAACTACAGATGATGCAGAAGTTGAAAAGTCAAAAGAGTATGGGATGGTCAGAAATTGTGGAAGGGAGACTCTTTTAATATTTTATTAAGATCTTTATAGTTATGTCGGTTGAATACCCTATTCTTTTCTTTCTTTATTTTTTATTTTATTTTTTTATTTATAATGTTGTGTGAAGTTGGATCTCATATAATACTATAGTTGAATTTTTCTTTAAGTTGAAACTGCAACGGAGACCGGTTTCTTACTACTTTAGATTATGCTTTATTTAATATTTCGGCAAATATATTAGGCTAAATTGCACCCACTTTTGACTTAAGAGGTAAGTTTAAATTACGAAAATAAATTTTTTTTAATTAGGTAATTACAATCACCGTACGCAATTATAAATTTTCCCACACGCTCACTATTGCGAGTCAAAATTAGTAGAATATTCTAGATTATATGGAATATTCTTCAGTTTGTATTCGTTTTATCCACTTCAATCTCCATATTTTGAAACTAGATGATCATAAAATGTGTGGTTTATAACTATCAGATTGTGTTGCATCAAAAACTGTATTTTTTTTTTACAAAACGAGTACAAACTAGAGAACCTTCAATGAAATCTAGAAGATTATTTTGAATTTGATACCATAAGATATAGTAGAAGTTCAAGATCGAGGAAGGTGGATATAATTACCGAAACATGATTTTTTCTTTTTTCGTAATTTGACCTTACTAAATGGGTGACCGCAATTGATCATATTTTAGATTATGCTTTATTTAATATTTCGGCAAATATATTAAGAAAGCTACAATAGATATCTACTATAATCTTAGTAAAAAAAATGTATTATGCATGATGAATAATATAAAACAATTTTTTTCTTTCTTTCCAAAGTAATAGTAGTTAATTTGAAACATTTTATATATAAAATGAGTTTGGGTAGAGCCAACAGAAGTCATTACAAAACCAAGAATAGTCAACGCGGAGGTGGACTGAAGAAGAGGTGCAACTCAACCGCCACTCCAATCCAAAGCTGAAAAGGTGAGGATGATTATTCATTCTGGATTTTCTCTTTATTTATTACGCGATTTTCTCTAAAGCTTTGTTTCGTTTCCTTTTTTCTATACTGATTTCAGATTAAAGGTCAAATTCCGCCGTACTAATCTCGTCGGAAGTAACCCCATCGGAACCGATCTCATCGGAAATAATTAGGGCACGGCGATGGTGAAGGAGACCGGATACTACGATGTGCTGGGTGTCAGCCCCACTGCTACCGAGGCTGAAATCAAAAAGGCTTATTATGTGAAGGTCCGATCTTATTTTCACCTCCGCTGTACTTTTTATTTTTTTATTTTTTTTATTTTATGTATTCATTTTTTAATTACGGGAGAGGTTTGGGAATTTGAACTGGAACAGCCGCGAGGGTCTGATTTGTGCTGATTTTTTTCTTTTTTTTTTTAGAATGCAGAACTTGTGCGTGTAATTTGTATCGAATTAGATCCAGTAATCGTCTGTGTAGATCGTTTTATGTGATGTGTTAACTTAACTTCCATCGCCACTAAAACCTTGAGGCTGTTAGTACAGGATTTCTCTTTTTTTTTTTTCTTTTTCCTCCTCACTGTTTCCTGCTCTTTAGGGTAATTGGAGCTTTACATATAGATTTTCAGGAAAATGGTGGAAGACTCGTAATAATGTTGTACGTAATATGTATGTAAAGCTCTCTTTGGTTATTTGCTAATCGAGCCAAGTCACTGTTTCTTATTCCCACATTCTGGCTGAAATTTTGGAAAAGAAAAAAAAAGGCTACAGGTAATTAGCGTCTGTTTCCACATATGAGCGGTTTTAGGTATTTCCATGTCATATAGAAGGTACCAGTCGGAATTAATGTTTGTTTTCTGTACTTTTTTATTCCTGATTCAGTTGATTTTTCTGAATATTTCCTAGTCCAACTCTCACTATAGTTTTCTTTTCGCCATGGTTTTGAAGTTCAATCTAATAAAACTGAAATTTGGAAGATCCTATTACCTGTTCCTGCATCTGATTAAATTTCAGTTTCTGGGATGATCTTCCCTTTTAACTTTTTCTGGGTTGGGTTGTTGTAGGCAAGACAAGTTCATCCAGACAAAAATCCGAACGATCCCTTGGCAGCACAAAATTTTCAGGTGAGCTAACTAATTTTACCACTTCTTAGCGTGTGTTCGTGGTTTGTTGTTAAACTCATAAGAAAGAAAGTTGATACACATCTCTTACATGTGAATTTATTAAGCGCTAGGATGTTAGAACAGTAGATGTTCATGTTTGATCTATGCTGAGAGTTGCTCTTTGCTTTTGCATTTTAATCAGATTCTGGGTGAGGCTTATCAAGTTCTTGGTGACCCAGCACAAAGACAAACTTATGATGCCTATGGAAAATCAGGAATTTCAACGTCAGTTTTATTTTGAAATCTATAACATGTCCAGTTTTATATTGGTCGTGATATTTTGTTATAATTAGAGGTCGATACCTATTTCTGAGAATTATCTCGTTTGTTGTTGATTTGTTCCAGAGAATCAATTATTGATCCTGCAGCCATCTTCGCTATGCTTTTTGGAAGTGAGCTTTTCGAGGAATACATTGGCCAACTTGCCATGGCATCAATGGCTTCCTTGGATGTTTCAACAGAAGAAGACTTTGATGCTAAAAAGTTGCAGGAGAAAATGCGGGTAAAATTTCTGATATTTGCCAATTTATTTTATTTCTACTACCCCTCAAATGCTTGTCTGTTTAATTTAGTTTTCATTGTTTAGTATAAGTATTAAATCGACAGTGAGGGGATTACGTTTTAATAGAAGTACAAAGTGTAAAGTGTGGGGATCATGGTAAGGTGGGATTACAAATCGTATGCTGTTTAACAGGAAATTGATTTTTTTATTTATTTATCATCAGTATCAGAAGAAGACTTCATTCACATGAAAATGATTAGAGTATAACTGTGGGGTTACTTCTGACATGGAAATTAATTGTCCGATTATCGTCCAGAAAGATGGAGAAAGTATCGATTTGCATTATTTCTTATGCACATGATTTTTGATCGATAGTCTAAGCTTTTCATTTTCCATGCAACTTCAGACTGTCCAAAAGGAAAGGGAAGAGAAGCTTGCTCTTTCACTCAAAGATAGACTCAACCTCTATGTCCAAGGAAATAAAGAAGAATTTATCCGTCAAGCTGAGGCTGAAGTGTCAAGGCTTTCAAATGCTGGTACGAATCCGTTTCGGTTTGGTCCCTTTAGTTACTTCATATCTTTCTAGTTTTTTTGTTTGACTCTCTAATTTGGAGACATAGATACTACTAACTGAGTTTTCTCAGAGGGGGGTTGGGTTTCTCATTGAAAGGATAACATGACCCTTTGCCTTGTACATGGGGTAATACCTTCGTGTTCATACAGGTTAGGAAATAGAACCAATTTTGAGAAGAGACAATAAACCTTTGTATTGAGTCTGGTGAACTCTAATTGAATTGTTTGACATTCATCACCAAAAGAAATAATTTCATAAAGGTAGGCATATGCCAAATGTGAACTACCCCACCCTTCAGTCATTTAGAAACGAGTATTAAAAAAAGATCTAGATAGTTACTGCAGTTAGTCTTGTAATCATGTTTTACGGTTGATAACCAAGTTTTGTGCAAATCAATTGACTCCACAAAAGAATATTGAGTGAAACGCTATTTCCTTTGCTGTCCGACAGTTAGCACATTTTCCGTTTTGTACTACAGTTTATCATTTTGTTGCTGTATTTGTATCTATTTTTTAATGGCTCAGTGCTCTATCACAGCTTATGGCGTGGATATGCTTAGTACCATCGGTTATATATATGCAAGGCAGTCAGCAAAAGAGCTTGGGAAGAAGGTGATATTCTTGGGTGTTCCATTTGTTGCTGAATGGTTCAGAAATAAAGGACACTTTATTAAATCCCAAGTAACTGCTGCAACAGGTTGGTTTTAATTTGGCTTGTTTATACCAGGAGTTGCTTTTGCTTGATCGTAATACCTGTAACTAACCCATGGTTTGACAAAACTAGGGTTAAAAGTGCATGTGATGCTCATTCCATCTATATTTGTTGGATAATATCAAATTTGCCATTCCCTTAGGTGCAATTGCTTTGATTCAGCTTCAAGAAGACATGAAAAGACAGCTCAATGCTGAAGGAAATTATACAGAGGAAGAACTTGAGGCGTACATGCAATCACACAAGAAAATAATGACCGACTCCCTCTGGAAGCTCAATGTGGCTGATATAGAAGCCACCCTGTCTCGTGTTTGTCAGATGGTAGTCCAAAACTTGCCGCTTTTTGGATGTTGTGTTTCATTTTTTACATCAACTTCATTGATTGTATGATGCTTTTATGTCATCTTTAGGTTTTACAAGATAACAGTTCAAAGAAAGAGGAGCTCCGTTTGCGTGCCAAAGGTTTAAAAACCCTTGGCAAAATTTTCCAGGTAAAAAGGATGCGCCAAACCAACGTTAATTATCTAGTTTTGTGTCTCCTGTTGAATATTTAGATAGTTATTGCTTCGTTTTTCAGCGAGTGAAATCAGCTAACGAGAATAACTCCGAAAATACGTCCAAGGATCCGACCCATAAATTAGATGGAAGTCAATCAAGTAGCAACACTGCTCCTTCAAGCACAACTTCAAGATCTTTCAACAATGATCAGTTGTCGAATACATTTGCACCTCAGGTTTCTTCAACCCCCTAAATCCCAACCCAAGATGAATATATGGGAAAAAAGAAAAGTATTATTATCTGTTTTAATGACAAAGTATTATTATCAGTCATTCCGTTCGGTGTATGTCTAATATGACGTTTATGGTAACTCGGTTTTTGCAGAGTCCATATGTGGAGACTCCCCAGTTCCCTGGAGCTGAATTTAACAACTATCCAATGCCAACGGCACCACCTGGTGCCCACAAACCACTATAATAAAGCATGTGCTTCAACAGTCGTATGTGAGAATTTGAATTGTGATGTATGATGGTATGTAGTTATCTTGTCGAGTGATAAGTGAGTATATATTATTTGTTTGTCGCGATTGTATCATGTGTAGTTCATGTATCATTTTGTGCTACCAAAGTTGAGCTAGACTTTTATGCATTTATCCAGGATCGAGTAAACATATACATTGTGTAGCAATTGTTATGAATGATTTTACATCATTTGGTCTTGATAAAATTATACAAGCGTTACATAACAAAAAAAAAAAAAAAGAAGGAAGAAAGACTTGAGTTTTGTCTATCTTTAGTATATGCATTTGGTCGTTTTAAAAGAGCTTGACTCGTTTTTTTTTTTTCTGGGAAAATCATGGGAATTGAACGCATTCACACACTGGAAAAGAGTTACAAAGTTTACATATTTTAATAGACACCATTAGTTTGTTGTTGAAACAAGGAAAGATAGGATTGCAAAATTAATTTGCTACTTTGAAGTGTCTCACAGTTCCAAGTTCCGCGCATGCCTGCGTTATTAACGACATAACACAGCTTTAGCTGGAGATAAAGCTCTTTCAAAGTCGACAAAGAAATAAGGCAAATCAGTACAAGTTCTTCAACAATTTCTATCTAATTAGCGAAGAAAGAAGGATATTAGTATAGGCATCTTAAACAAAGAGGAGGAAGGGAAGAAGTGAACCTAATGCAATGAGTTATATCCCATTAAGGGTGATCACAACTTTGCGCGGAGTAGCAGCATCACGGTGCTCGCATAGCCATATTCCCTAAAACAAAGATATTGAAACCATCATCAGACATCCTCCCCTCCAATAAAATGAACAAGAGATAAGTGATAATTCCATATTCCAAATATATTCACAGTTTAGAAAGTCAAAACTTTGTCGACAGATTTATTGCAAGAATTAGCTCATGCAAGCCGGAAACGATACTTCATGCTATACAGCTCAGACACTGATGTAAAGAATGGGATGGATTGACTCCAAACATTTCGAAGTGGCAATGACTTTATTTCCAAATGTCTAATGGAATATCCTATAATTAGTTTATATGGTCCTCGTCTTAGAAATGTGCATCTTCTGCAAGATAAGTGGAACAAAACTTTTAAGTCTTGTCTGTTATCATCTTTATCACTTTACCAGCACATAAATCATAAGTGAACTTTTCTCGTAAATATTTTGCAGATTCCCTAAGCCGAGTGTGAGTTATTTTTTATCCCCATCTTTATGAATTTACCTGCCAAGTTCCCATGTTTAGTTTTCCATCTGTGATAGGTATCCTGCAAAATTAGGATCCAATGAACGATAAGTTGCAAATTTGCGAACTATAAAACTACAAGATAAAATCAAAGACGATATGCAAATTAATCCGTACGTGAGGGAGCAGCCAAACATAGATGACTTGATGTGTGCCGGCATGTCATCTGGACCTGCAGTAGTAACAAAACTTCAAATATCCATCCACATATTATGTAGTAAGGAAAGGCAATTAAGATATTCTACTTTTTACATTTCAATTAATTTTTTTTTGTATTAATGAGATCACTCTTCAACCAATTTATTCAGCAATTTATACGCATGGAGAAAACGGGCACCGCTTCTTAGATGCACGTGAAAAGTTCCAAAACGAAACGAAACCACTTCGAATATTACCTTCATATATCTTTTAATCAAAAGAGGGAGAAATTTGAGAACCTACCTTCTAGTGTGTGTTTCCACGGTGCAGATCGCCCCTGAAACCATAAGCTTAAAAGAGATTAACATCATGTGCTAACAAGAAATGCAACCGCCATGGAGAAAGAAAAACATACCTCTGGAACTACTTTGTTCAAAAACGTCTCCGTGTCAGCCCTAACATCGGTGTCGTAGTTTTCGTTCACAGTCAACGAAGCACTCGTGTGCTGAACTGTTTGTTCCACACAAATGATGCATTCAAATATGAATCTGATATGTTCAATAATATATACTGCAAAAATACTGAATATGCAGAGTCAAAAACTTACGAAAAAAATGAGCAAGGCCACACTTAAACCCTGATAAATCCTGCCCAATATCCCTCAGAATCTGCAACAAAATTGAATCGCAAAGGTCTCTTAATTGTGTATTTGTTTCAATTCAGTAACCACACAATTATTTTCGGATAAATGATACAGCAATCTATAGAGTTTATCGTGGATTAAATCATAATTCAAAAAAAAAAAAAATCCCCAAATCCGATTCGGTAATTGGCGAGCGCGATCAATTATGATTGAACTTTGTGAGATGAATCGAACACATAGATAGATAGATAGATAGATACCTTGGAGGTGATGAGATGGCAGCCTCGCCGCTGGGCGGGGATGGTTACAGTCATCTGAGCCCATTTGGGAGCAGTTCCAACAGATGATGGTGATGGAGCTGCCATACTATCAGTATGACGAAGATTCAACGACAATCGCCGCCGCTGGTTTTTGATTGGTAGGTTTTTTATCGAACTGTAACCGACGAATTTTACTCTGGTAGTGGCGGGTATGAATGAGGACGAGTGTGGTGAAACCACCGCCGCTTGCATTTCGTTTCGGGAAAGAAGAGAGAGAAAGAAAAAGAGATTTTAAAAAGCCCAGATAAATAAACTAATTGTTCTTTGCTCCTCTTCTATATTAGCCCTTTGGGTTTGGAGTAAGTACAAGAAAAACGTTGGCCCACAAAATTTAGAAACTTCACTACACACCACGATTTTTAAAACCATCCAAAAATTAAAAAATCTCATTATAGATTTTTTTTTCCTTTATTGAAGTTCTTCTTATATCTAATTCGATTTTGTATTGAAGTCCCTTTACCGCCGTTGTCCTCCGATTATGTTTTATTCTACTGGCGGTGGTATTCGATGTGATTAGTTTTATTGTCTGTTATAGTTTTGACCTGAAGAAGTTTAGAGATTGACTTGATCGGTATTGTCGTACTTTGTGTAAGATAATTAGTGGTAATAAGATTACTTTCACGGTTTTTTTAATCAATTGCTACTTTTAACCATTTTTCGAGCCGTAGCATATTACTTGAAATTCATTTTTTACTCACTGATTTTTTTGATCTACAGACAGGTTGGAGATCTAGCCCAACCCCGAAACCTCACCAGGGTTTCTTCAAAAGAAATAATTACAACAACTTTTTACAATTGTAGCCCTTGTAATAATTTGTAGGCATTAACCAATATCCACAAGAAGAATTAGAAAAGCGTCAACTTGGACCTGGCGTAGAAAGTCAACGGCAGATAAATGTAGCAACCATTACACAACAGCAGCATTAATAATACAAAGCTTTTAATTAGCAACCACTTCACATACTAGGTAAAAAAAATTGACTGGGGTAATAATAATAATGAGGTCAACCTCAAATTTGTGATAAAAAACATTGAATTAAAGATCAACCAAATGTACTAACCACATTTTTTTACCACTAAATAAATTCTCATTTTGTCGCCTGAGCAATGATATTACTTATAGAACTTGCTTCTTCCTTGGCCGCCTCCACAAGTGAGTCCTGCAAACACATTGGAATGTCATTTAGCTACAATTTTTTCGTAGTAATGCATTTCAAAAAAAAAAAAAAAAAAAAAAAAGGCCACTGTGATCACAATACCTGGGCAGCTACTAGACGTGCAACGGTTTTCTTACTCGACTCCTGAAGTTCCCCAGCAATCAGAATTTCATCCAATATGTAATAGGCCTGTTATTGCATTTGATACACAGCTTAACATAGAGAAACAAATGCCACATAGTGGATTCAAATAAATGAACAAAAAGAGTGGGTATCAATATTTGTATCTCCCACTGGTTCTTTCGGTTAATTAAGTATGTCATAACTTAATTAAACAATGAAACTATTATGTTTCGGATCACTTAATAAATTCCATAAAACGAAAAACAAGTTAGTCAATAGCCCCACACAAAGAAAATTTATTACAGACATCTGCCGACCAGTAATAGGATAGCAAACTTAATTTCCTTACATCAAAGTATATACAAATGCCAGCATACAGGTGGCGGAGCAAGAAATTCAGAACTCGAGTGGATGTTAAGTATTTGAAATAATTAAGTGATGCAATGGAAGATTAAGTTCAACGGGATTCTTTATCATACATCACAATAGAACTTCTGAAATATTATATTATATTTCGTCCACAAATAGCTGTTAAATATTGATAACGGAACGTGGGATGTATAAAACTCTCTAAATATTCTACGAAATAATCGAGGCTGAAAAAACCATACCTTATGGAAGTTAAAGATCAGATCCAGTTCACAGACCTGGAGAAGCAAAATAAATATGTATCAAATAATATTACGAAGAAATTTAGTTGCAAAATTACAGCAAATATAAGCTTCAATCTAAGGCCTCACACTTCCAAAGTAGCGGTCGAGTATCTCGACGAAGTGGTGGATAATTTCAAGGACCTCCAATTCATTATCATCCTGGTCAATACACATGCAGAAATAAAGGCTAGCATACCTGCAGAACATGCAATAAGATGCAACAGAATTAACTATGGATACTCTTGAACGAAAGTGTTTATTGAAAGAATCATGGGCAAAGTTTGAACTGAATAAAAATGCATATTACCTTTTGTAAACAACTTTGTATCCCCTCCACTCCACAAAATTACACAGCTTGGGGCCACGAGTGAGAATCATGCCACTAAGCTCCCGAATAACCTTTACCAAATACACATCAACACGTGATAACTGTAAGTTTTGATTTGTCACGTGAAACATAATTTTGAAAATCAGATAATACATTACAGTCCATCAAGTCTAGATGAAGAAAAAGACCCTCTTACATCAGTATCATGTTTTCAACTTCACACCCAAAACTCAGTTAAAGCATAAGAAAACAGTATTTTTTTAGAGAAAGAAAAGGGTGAATCGATCGAGTGGACTTAAGATAAAGTTGGAACCAATAATACCTTGGTTCTTTCCTTCTGCGTATAAGGTGAATACCATTTTGTCAACCTTACTTTCCCTTGTCTGCTAATGAGAAGAACAAAATGAATCTGAAATAAACCAAGAAACTTTTAGTCCCTTATCAACTGTATACGAAAAAAAGAAAACAGACCAATTATCTTAATAACAAATTATAAATTGTCGGGAATAGTATTAAACAGTTTGAATGTTTGGAAGCATGACAATTTTATCGGCGAAAAACCTAAGCAGCAGAAAAACCATAAGACCAACATAACTCAGGATCCAATGAAAACGGTGTACCAGCTAAAACAGGCAAATCAAACCTACTTGAATACCTCCTTTCATTGGATCCTACTTATTCCGGTTGGTAATTGCTAATACAATTCAGAAAAACGAACAGTTACATAGTTTCTGATTCCTAATTTATTCTTATGAACTAGTTGAAGAGATCTAAGCGCTATAATTTCAATTTCCTGTAAAGTAATGTAACAACCCACTTGCAGTGATCAACAGAGCAGATACAGATAAAAAGCGAGCCAATTGCTCAACGCAGTGAATCGTCACTGAAAAATGCAAACAGATCATAAACAAACGGAGGGGATGAGGGAAGATCTGAATGATAAATTAGATTCACGGCGCTGTCAAAAAATGGAATCCTTATTAATCAATTAATTCGTCGATTGATACGTATAAGATGATGAAAATTGGGGAATCGGACATAAAAATACTGGGGAGAAAGTGACGGAAGCCAAGGACGGAGATGTATTACCATGGCGGCGGCGTTGGCCGGCGGAGTTTCTGTCTCGGCGCTGATCCGAATTCACAACCGTGACGTTTCCTTTTTTGCATTTTCTATATACAATTCCACCGTATTTGTAAAGATAGAGGGTGAAATTGCAAGGAAGTCCTTCATATTTATTAAAAATATCATTTCGGTCCAACAGATTTATCTCTTGGTACAACTCCACAAAGGCAACACTTGGTAGTTGGTAATGACATAATTAGACCACCAGATGAAGAAAAAAAAAAGTTAAGATGATTATTATTTTATTTATATTAATAAGTTTTTGTAAAAAAAAAAAGTTATTTATAATTATTATTTTATTTTTAAGTAAGTTCATAAATATTTGCAACATTGTTTTGGCCTTAAATCTACATTTACTATTTGTGATCTAATTAATTTTATTTATCCATTTTGTATGAATGTTTGCAGCAATTTGATATAAATATATATATATATAGAAAAATACATACATGTAAAAACCTCAAGCAAATCGTTTAATTATTAATTATTAAAACCGCAAAAAGAAAAAAAAAAAAAAAAAAACACAGAAATCCTCAAAAGAAAAATACATATTTTGGCTCTCAAACTAAATAGCCAGTGAAGTCCACTTCAGTATCTCTGTACAGTGTATAAAAAAGAAACATCTCTCCATAAGCTCTAGAAAAAGGTGATGCTAATCAAGCAACAATCTCTTTATGGATTAAATATCGAAACGAAGAACTCTGTTCTAACCAGTACACGTACTTTTCGGGCCGATTCTTGGCAAATTTTTTGATAGTTTTGTGTTGAATTCCTTGTATGTGTCCGCTGACAGCTTCCAAAAGTTCAGCCATGCCAAGTGACATATCTTTCGCGTAATGATTCAGTATTTTCGGCAAGTAAACCTTTGATTGCTTATGAACATAAACCGAAGCTTGTATAAACTCTTTCTGGGCAACTTTCAGATCATCGAATACATTCTTCGCAGTGTAAACTCGAACCTGGAATTAAGTAGCCTCAAAGATTAAGATAATCGGAAAAATGCACTTTTTTTAAGAAGCGAAAAAGTAATATATAAAAGGAACGGCGATTAAGGAATTAGTTTACCGCTGGGTCGGAGTGCGAGCCTGAGCATAGTGCAAAATGAACAAGTGGTTCGGGGTATTCAATAGCAAAATCGTGTTTGGTAGTTCCAGTCTTGAACTTCTTTCCTGGAGAGAAAATTGCCTGATGCCACTGCATTTGCATGGTTCGTAATATGTCAGTAAAAATAAAAAATTGACTACATTTTTCAAGCGTTGTTTCGTTATCATTCTTATTAAGAATCTAGTTCCTTTGTTGAAGTGCTAAAGATTGAAATAGATAAATCGAAGTTTATTTGAAGCTAAATCACCGAAGATAGAAGTACAATGGACATAATGTTCAGTAAAATTCACCAAAGATAGATTGAAGTAAGAGATACATACCGGAGCAGAATAGTGAGATTTGATTCCTAAAATGTAGCTTTGTATGTCGTAAGCATTTAGACAATGTCCGCCAATGTTATAAGAAGCCTGAGAGAAGGCATTGCACATTTAACATCACGTATTCCGATAAAAACTCGTCACTGACAGATTAAACAAATGAAATTAGCTTTTAGTACCTTCACCATGGACGTGTTTTTTATATAGTTCTGAGTTCCATATGCTAAATAAGCCTGCAAACATAGTCAAAATTGCAGAATGGGGTGTGACCAAGGCCATTATATTCTCGGACGAAAATTCGCATTACAAGCAATAAGATTTCAGTTTAAAATGATTTTCGTATTAATTATAGCAAAGAAAGTTTTGCAAGGCATACATGCATCACCAAAGCATTGTGAATGTTAATCCAGAAGGCAAGTTTCTGCTCGCGCCTCATCTTCTTCGGGTCAACAATCTCGAGACTCTTAACTAGAGACCTGCACAGCTTCAATCAAATATAAGGATTACCGAAATTCGACCAATTTTGCTATGATCCAATATAAAAACAAATTGGTTTTCGTAAATAGAACATGAATGTAATACGGGATAAGAATAAATGGGGACACCTGAACTTCTGAAGCATTATAGCAGCGTAATTATAAGTCTCGTTGTCTAAGCATATTTTCAAGACTTCTATTGTTGCAGAGTATGGTCCGTTTTCTTGTTTTAGACCTTCAAAGCAATGCTCTGCAACTTCATCATTACACCGAGGACTCCAACTGTCGGATAAATTTCTTGGAGAAAATGTGCTCGACGAGCAGAACGACGAGTTGGACGAAACCGATAAGCCTTTGTGAGTTCGTGCAGGGTATGCCAGTTTGCAATAAATCGAAGAAATACATTTTATAATGTCTTCGGATAGTCTATCCGGAAAAACGAGAGCATCGTCTATACGGGAATTTCCAAGATGATCTGCTAGGCTAGAGTGCCGAGAATAAGCACTCTTTTTTTCCTGCAAATTGCAAATAAATCACATTTAATTTAACATTAAACATGCAGATAAGAGGAATCTGAATACGGAACACTTACAGATGATGATTTTGGAGTAGAAACTTGAACCGAATCGTTTGGACCAGCTAAAGCACTTGTAGGAGAGCTTTGGTTTTGATTGTTACTATAGGTTTTCGTCAACTGAAATTTCGTCTTGGGAGATTGTTGATCGGATGTGACCCATGGGCTTATTTCATTCGTTTGATTGTTTTTCGGAATACTTGGGAGATTCTGCTGAAAAGCTGTACGGTAGAGAGAAAGAAGATACCGTTCCAAATGCACGATCTCGACTTCGAGTTTAGCGATTTCTTTCACCACTTCTGCTGAAGACTGAAGCCAAGAATGTCGATTATCACTAAAATCAGTTCCGAATACCAAAAATCGGATGCAGAAAAAAAAAATTACATTCTCATGAATTGATTCCAGTTAGATTAGATCAGTAGAAATCAATAAATGCAGTGCTTTCAAAATTGTTTCTTTCATCAATCTCTTGTGATATTTGAATCACGTGACTTCCATTCCATTCAATTACAATAATTTGTCTTTCACACACACACACACACACACACACACACACACACACACACACACTACTGAAAGAGTAAAATCAGATAAACGAGAAGTGAACAAAATCAACTTACAGTAGGAGAGATGTTAAGCACATGATCCATGGGCATCTGGCTACAAATTTCAGAACCGGAGGCAATTGGAGAAGGTGGAGAGGAGAAATCCATTTCCGCTTTATACAAAACCTAAAACCCCAATAAATTAAGATGATAATTGCAGCACCGACACTCTGATTATAGCCTAGAAACAATTACCTAAAAATAAAAAAATAGCAATCAAATTCTAAGACAAAACCATTGAAGAATATCTCAAAGGAAATCTATGTGGCTGCCCATAATCTACAACACAACAAAAGCTCAATGCGGACAAGAAATTAAAAAAAAAATTGATTAATTAAACGCAGATGATGACCCACACTGAAACAAATATTGGAGTGAGTGACCAGATACAATAAATGATCACAGATTTCAGTGAGTAACAGCAGTTGTTGAATTAAAATTAAAAATTAAAAATTAAAATTGAGGGAATTGGGAATTACATGTGGCGTGTTTTCGAAATGGCGATTATGCCATTGAAGGAAAGGGGAAAGCAACAACACCACCTGTAAAACATGGGTTAATTTGTGGGAGCAGTAGTAATTATGGTGGGGAAGGGGATCATAGATCAGGTAGTTTATGAATGGTGATTTGGTATTATTGATAATGACACTCTTCTGTGTGTGGAGATTAACAACCTAAAATATGAATTGACTGCAATTAATTATAATTAATATATGGATGTGTTTATGTATTTTGCAATAATAAGCAATTAAGGAAAACATGATAATGACCTGAGGGGTAGGGTTGTTTCCATTAGTGTATACATGGTAATTAGTTTTAAAAAAGGTTAATAGCACTAAACCCCTCGTGGTTTGAGTTTTGTGCACTTGTTACCCTGTAGTTTGAACTTTATTTATGCACATGGCCCCTTATACTTTTAATACAAGAGCGTAACTCTCCTATGATATTCCACTTGGTAAATAATCATGATCATTAGGAAGAAGAATTTTTTAAAGTACAATGGTGTTATGTGTTATATTAAAATATAAAGGGGTCATGTGCTATATTGAAAGTATAAGGGGTCATATGTACAATGTTCAAACTATGGGGGTATGTGCTTATATTGTAAATATAAGAGGGTTATGTGGACAAACTCAAACCACAGGGGGTTTTAGTGATATTTACCCTTTTTTATAAATAATTTCACGAACAACTAAAAAAAGTTTACGCTCGACTCGTCAAAAAGCTCGAGCTCGAAAAACTGTCCATAAGTCTTGATTGTTGATTAAAAAAAAATGTTTTATACCAGTGTAATGAACTTTTATCTAATTTATCATTTTAATATTAACAGACAATAACAACAATGACACAATGAATGAAGAGTTATTGTTAATAGTATAATAATTAGTTTGAGGGTTGTGTTGATAATTTGCTGTTCATTAAATTAAATACAAGCTTTAAATAGAATATTAAAAATTAAATTTAAAAAAAAAAAAAAAAGTTAGAAGAAAAGGAGGGTTGAATGATTGGTCAGACCTACTCCATTCAAACCAAGAATATTAATTCAACTCACTAACCTAATATTAAAAGGTCTACAAGCAAAATTATTATATCATCAATTAAATTCAATTCAATTCAAGCCAGGCTGCTTAATTTTCCCCTATGTTTGAATTATTAAATCATTGAATTTGATTCACAAACGTCATTTTCGGTTGTATTAAAATTGCCAGGTCGAAATTGTTTCACCTGCGACATAAATCCATAATAATAAAGAAGCACTTTAGCATTATGGCATATATTATTGTATCCAAATAATTACCGATAATTATAGCTCCTGTGACTAAGTTCACTTTAAAAAGCTGATAAGTTTGTACGTCTGATAAGTTGTTACGTCTTAGTTTTAGAATTAATATTTAAAGTGTTTGGATAATTCGCTTATAAGTTGTTTTTATTCATTATAAAATTTTAAATAAAGATCTGGAGTAAATTTACTTTTTTTTTGAAAAATCTTAAAAGCTCGATAGCAATTTATTTATTAAAAAAAGTTTTTTTTTTTTTATAAATTACCAAACACTTCAAAAGAGCTTATAAGCTCTTTAACAACTTATACTAAACAACTTGAAGAAAGTCAAATCCTCTTAGGCCCAAGTTTTTAGGCCCAGCTGATAAACTAAAATTAATAGTGGCCCAAGTCCATAACCGTTGGTGCAAATGCTACTTAATTGTCACATAATTAAAGGTAGACGCACTCTAATCCTGTAATACTATCTCTAACGCGCTCACAAATTTCATCTTTTCTAGGATCTAAAAACTAACTCAATTCTTACGATTTCATTCCAGCTCGAAGATTAAATCGAGGTGTCCGAAAAGATCAATTCCTGACCACATCAAAATGTTTAATTCAACACAATTTAAGTACTTAAACATATCAAAAGGTTGAGGAACACATTACATTTTGAGAGTTAAATCGGGAACTTATACAGTGATGTTTAATTAATAAAGATTAGGTTAATTAGAGGTTTCCATGTGATAATTTCTGGCGTTGAGGGGCTATGTTAATTTGCGTGCATGCAAAATGGTCAGATATTGTCGCGCTAGTGTTTCCGTGATTAATTTATCCAAAAACACGTTTTTTAATGTTTTTTAGGCCAAACTTTTGCCGCTTTCTCGACCGCCCACACTAGGATCATTAATTGCTCTCTCTACCGCACACGTTCGGCTCATTAATTGTGTATTTATCTAATATATTTTATATTTATTAATTCGTAGTCGTGTCCTCTGTTTTTTATTTTTTTATTATTTATTTATAGATTCTTATTATAGTCCATGTATTATTACTACTATTGTAGAATTATGTTGAAAATATTTGATTTGATTCGAAGGATTAACTCATTGGATTTGGAATAATACATCATGATTTTGTAAATCATGAAATGAGATTAATGAAAACAAGAGTGGGTGTCGAAATCTCACATATTAAATTATTAATTGCCAAATTGACATAGTTTTTAAGAAATTCAAAAAAAAAAAAAAAATTGTTTCTTATTCAAGAGACGCAACTGTTGAAATATCAAGTATGTATTTCTGATAAGTGATAACAATGGTCAAATGATCATGATTTAATTTGTGGGCGGTGAATGCAATGTGTGATAAGATCGACACAACAATTATTAACAAATAAATTTGAGTTTGAGTTAATTGACATAAAATGTTGCAATGAGTTTTTTTTCTCATTTTTTTAGTGTTTCATGGAATTATTTGTAGTGTTTGATAAACAAGCTTCTTATTTGTTCGAATATATCAATTAATTAAACGCAGATTTCAGAAGAAGAAAATCGAGGATTGGAATCAAATGTATGATGATCTCTGTAAATTTTCAAAATTGGAATACAATTAAATTACAGCCAAAGTCCAAAATATTTACAAAAGGAAATTTCTTCCTCAAAAGGAACTATGATCAAAGAAAAGAATCAACATCGATGATTGTATGATACTGTTTCCTTTTTTTCTACCTTGCCTAATATAAACAAGGACCACAAAAAAAAAATTAAAAAAAAAATCAAAAAAATTCCTCAATTGACGAGCACGGATCCTTCATTAATGGTAGTTAACCCTATCCTGAACGATCGGACGGCGAATTTCGCTCGGCGAGAAGTGTGTCTCTGCAACTTCCGGGATCTCGAAACCCCAAACTCCGATCCGACTGAGGCCTTGCCCGAATTCTTATTGCCAGCGGGTCTGGATTCGTGAATCGGATCTTCCTCCGCCACCAACACGGGTGAAATCCGAGATTTCCTGTTCCGGCGAGAATTGGTGGCGTCGAGTGCGACGCTTGCCTTTACAGCCAACGCCGCCATATCGGAGGCGGCGAGGCGGCGCTGGAGCTTGGAAGACGGCAGCACGAAATAGATCTGGTCGGGCTCAAGTTCGTTCTCCGGTGCGAGATTCGGTATATAGTCGTCGAAGAACAACCGGTCGGAGTTGCAGAGGAAGACGGAATCAGGCGACGAATCTTCGTAGCTAAGCACCTGCGATACGGTGGCCGGAAGCGGGTAGCGGCGCAGCTCGCCGTTGAGAGTGACGACGTTAGCGGTAGGTTTCTGATGGCGACTGTAATCGGATTCGGAGGAGAAACAAGCACCCATTGCTACTGATGAATAGTATACTCGGAGCAGCTGGGTTTTTTTTAGAGAGAGAAGAAGCGTTTTGATTTGTAGAGAGAGAAAGAGGAGAGAGAGTGTGTGTGTTTTGGGAATGAGAGAATTGAGGCGGCGAAAGGGTATTATATAGTGGGAAGTAGAATGAGAAGAGTGGTGTCGTTCCGTAATTGAGGTCTTGCTAAAACGGCGACGTTTTGATAATCACGTGATGTAATTGGTGACTCAGCTTCAAAGAAGCTACCTTGGCGCTCAAGCATGTGCTTCTCCACAGCCGTGTGGCACCTTCTTCCACCAATCACTGTTCTTGTTACAGCCTAATTTATTTTTTATTTATTTATTTATTTATAAAAAAATCTTGAATGTTGGGCCATATTTGTTGGATAAAATTGATAAAAATAGGTAATGTTTGAATTTGTATGGCTACTTTAGGGAGTTTTTGAGTAAATGAATTTCTAAAAAGTAATGTTGATTTTTTTTACTTTATGGAAATCACATGTGAAAAAATAACCTTTATTATAAATATCTAAACAAAACCTTTATTAGAAATATCTTTAAAAGGAAATATCTTGTGAAATACTACTTGCACGGGATTAAATAGACAAGTTTGTGTTAATTGATGTAAATTCGAATTCTCTTGCTAACGGTCGCTAGATCAGATTTGTCACACATAGTTAGCTTAGTGTAATTTACGTTTCTCTTATGATTTGAAAGTTATTATAAAAGATGTATGCTGGTTGTGAGTTTCTTCATAACAAAAAAAAAAAAATAGGCATTAACAATACGAAAATTGTTAACTGTACGAATAATTTCCTGAACTCGTTGAACTAAAAATAAAAATATTAATTTGTTTTGCATATCTGTCACTCTATTAAAACAAAAAAAAAATCTCTTAAACCTATGTCTTAAATGATCTGCAGAAGAAAGTGGCTGGTTAGTGGTCTTAAATCTCAATTAATGTTAATCAAATTCTAACCAGACACTAATAATATTAATAGAAAACATTGTCTTAAATGATAGGTGGACATACAACATATGATAATAATCACAATAAATACCTTGTCCCTGCAACTACGTACACTATGTTGATTTTTGTAGTGGGAATCTGGGACTGTGTGCTTATTCCAGCTTATTAGTAATTAATTAATTAATTATTATGTCAAATGTCGATAAAATATTCATAAATTAAATTATACTACTCATTTTTATCGATCTTCCCAAATGCCAGATATGCCCTACACAAATTAATTACAAGTTGTAGATGATTAGCTGTCATTTGTCGAGGGATTTGCTGTTGAGTGTTGATTAACTTTGTCACTAGCTTGTTTTATGTTAATTTTAGAGAAAAAATACAAGTACGATTAAATTAGCCTTATCAATTAATTAATAATTATTTCCACTAATAATGTAAATTATTTAAAAATAATAGGATTTTTTTTTATAGAAAATATTGATTAATGTAATATTAAATTTTTAATAATAACAAAAACAATATGGAATTAGAAAAAAATCAATAACAATTAATTTAACTAAAATGTTAAATGTCGTTTCAATTTTACTAATGTCTTTTTGACTTCAAACCTAATTTTGACATATTTCTATTTTGATTTTGGCAAAATTCGAAACATGAAAATTGTAGTACTTTGGATTAGCTTTCTAATACAACTTAAATCCGCTAGATTGGATGCCGAGTGACAAAATTATGTATGAATGGGTCAGATTTTGAATTTTAGATACATCAAAGTTGTGGGCAGTATCCATTGATTCATGTATATCTTTCTCGTCCGACATCTAATTTTGGTGATTCAAGTTGGATTAGAAAACTAACTCAGAATACTACAAATTCTATTTTTCGGGTTTTACAAAATTTGGAAAAAAAAACGATCAAAATCACGTTTGAAGTCGTAACGGCATTATCAAAGCTCGAACGACATTTATGACATCCCTTAATTTAAAACAAAGAAATATGATTAGTGGGTTTTGAATTCGGGCCCAGTTTGAGGACACTACTTTACTTTATGGGTGGGGTTTCGTAAAAGCCCGAAAGAGAGAAATTAGCCCAAATAATATAAAATTTGGGCTTTCATCCACTGAACCGATTCAGCTCAATATGAAAATGAAAAATCGGCCCAAGCGGATGCTATAAAAAGGTTATTAGGGTTTCGGACTTGCACTATTTCATCAGCACCCAACATTTTTGCTGCGGGAAGAAAAATCCAACGAAGAGAAATGGGTACGAAGATATAGCAAATGCATTCAATTTCTGCAGAGATGAAATTTTAATTTAATTGTTTTTTTTTTGTGTGCTGATTGTTATACTGATTGTAGCACGGATCAAGGTGCACGAGCTCCGGCAGAAGAACAAGGCGGAGCTGTTGGCGCAGCTGAACGATCTGAAGGCGGAGCTGTCGTTGCTGCGGGTGGCGAAGGTGACCGGCGGCGCTCCGAACAAGCTATCGAAGATCAAGGTGGTTAGACTATCGATTGCGCAGGTGCTGACCGTGATTTCGCAGAAGCAGAAATCCGCTCTGCGTGAAGTGTACAAGAATAAGAAGTATGTGCCGCTTGATCTCCGCCCTAAGAAGACCAGAGCTATCCGCCGCCGCCTCACAAAGCACCAGGTATTTTTACTTTCCTTTTTTGCCCCTCTCCATTTGATAATATTTCAATGTGATTCGTTATTTTTTTTAATAATAGTTTACTGTTAGATATGAGCAATGTGAACTATGTTGAATTGAATCCCAATTATTTTAAGTACAAAACCATTCAGTCTAACCCTACCATGGTTAGATTTCTCTATATGGTTTCCGTTACTATACTACATTACCAATTGTTACATAATCTAATTTGATATTGAATTTTGTTAGTTTGATCATCTGATATTCATCAAATTAACATTGTCATGAGAAATTAATGAATTTGTAAAGCCACTTATTGTATTATAGTCTCCTGAAAATTGTTAATGGCATAGGAATTTAAAATAAAAAATCGGGATGTTTGCGCCGAGCTTTGTATACTTTAGTACTGATGATTGCGTAAATGTAGGCAACGACGGAAGTATAGTATAATGCCTTTGGTATAATTCTGATTGTTATGTATAATATATAATTTTTATGTATGTAATGAACTCTGGTTTGATCTAATTTTTTCTTCGTATTATCCAGGCATCTTTGAAGACGGAGAAGCAGAAGAAGAAAGACATGTACTTCCCCTTGAGGAAATATGCTATTAAAGTTTAAGTTGTTTTTGTACTGAAGGCCAAATTTTGAAGACGATCTAAATCTTGTGTGCAATCGAATTTTTAGATTTCTGGATTTTTTTTCAAAGATATTGTGATATTAAGTACGAAGTTGAGTGATGTTTGGTTATTTTATATCCATGATTTTACTTAATATAATCGTGCATACTGAATTTGAAATTCGGATCATTATAAAAGTTACATATATCGCGAAAATAATATCTACATAATAGATTTTAGATTCGAAAGCAGATTATTGTTCGAAGGATCTGCAATGTAGTCAAGAAGGTTCTGTACAGGCCCTTTACCTGTAAGAGCTGCCTGAGCGGAAAAGCCCAACCAAGCAACCATAGCGAGACGACCGTTTTTCATCTCTTTCACCTTTAGTTCTTCGAAAGAATCTGGATCTTTTGATAGATTTAAAGGGTCGAAAAGTATACCTCCTGGGTAATTGATATCACCTGGCAAATATATTCCTAAAGGCTCAAGAGCTTCGATACCGCAATATCGTGCATATTCGGGACCAACCTGCATCAAGAAAATATGAAGAAAGAAACAAAATTCTGAAAATTTTATATTACTGCAAGAATTATTACCATGAGAAGAGCTTGACAAATGGCAATGATAATAACTCCTTGACTTCCAGCTATATGTAAGCCAGGGATGCCCAGGTAGTCTAATGTATCACCCTGGTGTAAAGAATTTGTTTACAACTTCTTCTGAATTTGGTATCGATTAGGGTTTAAACAAACGTAAATAACTGTTAAGATTTTAGCCAAGAACAACGAGGCCGAAAGAAAACGAGAGTCGAATAGATGAAGCTAGGAAATGATAGAAGCTAACATACTAACCTGAAGCTTCGAGTAGCCAACTCGCCACCAAACAGGTTCGGCAAAATGGAACGTTCCTATTATGTCTAATATCTCCGGAATTAAAGCACCAAATGCAGCAAGCATAGCCCACCTTGCATGCAGTACCTCAAAACTGCACAACAATAGCAAGTTTATTAAGCCACGTAAACGGGATACAGAGTTGAGCATTCGAAAATTAATTTTATATCTTTAATTGCTGATGTTATCACCTTCATAAAAAACTTTACAAAGATAAAGAGGTGTTGATAGAAAAAAATAAAGATCTATTTATGCAATAAGAGCTATACTCACTTAAAAAATTTCTGAAAGGCCACAGGATCCCGACTCAAACCTGCAATATCGAAGCCGTAATCCCCAGGCAGTTCGCCAGTGAGATAGGTAGGATAGTCGTACGATATTGGACCAAGCCATCGAGGCCGATCCTCCCCATACCACATGCTGGAAAACCAGATTAATTCAATTTCTCTAATAACACTTAAGAGAAGAGAATTACAGAAAAACATTGCTCACATCAAAATCCACGGTTACGATTACACATTTGTCACTCATCAGAAATAAAATAAAAAATAATCAGATCTCACATGCCTTGATAAATTAGATTAAATAAACTTGGATAGGAAAGTTATCGTATACGCCGATTCCAATGCAAAATTGATGCTACGGTAAAGAGCATGAAATTAATAATGTCACTGTTAATCCTGGATTAAGCAATTTAGTTTGAATTGTTCAATTGATCAGTCTCCTTTTTCATTTTTTTTTTCCTAATTTAATAAATATTTATATCCAACTACAGCCAAATAAATATGAGACGAACAGGTAATTTTGAATACCTCTCCATTCTGGCCTCGTTGGAGAGTGCTTTCATCTTTGAAGAATTGTCCTCATAAAGCTTCTTCTTCTCCACCATTCGCCTCTGGAGAACCTCCGCAAGTGGACTGTTGGCAATGGCTTTCACCGCCGTGAAAGGAATCGCCGAGAATACCAAAACTCCGGCGACCTTCACACAAACACCACCGTCAATCGAACGGCTGATAGTGATTGAAAGAGAAAGTGCTGCTGAGAAAATACACTAGCATATGCGGTAGCGTGATTACCTCTTCCCATGAAGCTTTAAATCGGGAAAATGAGTTAACGGCGGCACGAACGCTCCGTAGATTTCGGGTTGGTGGTTGGCAGGGGAGGAGCGACGGCGGAGGTAGGAGCAGAGACATGACCGCGGTGGCTAAAAGCTCAGAGATTGAAACAGGCAAGTTATGTGTACTGTCGTTAAATAGGACTGGGGGTGTCGTAATTCTCCTCAACCACTTCTTTTGTTTTTTAAGTTTTATTTTTTATATTGGAGCGGTAATCGAGCTGAGCTGACTTATATGAACTCAATGACTCGGAAAAAGCTCGAATTTTGATAGATCAAATTTTTTTAGTTGTTCGTGAATTCAGGAGGCCTTCTTTTTATTTATTTTTTATTTATATAATATAAATAATATAAAATGTTATAATAATATATAAAAAGAACATATATAATTAAAAAAATGGTGCGAATTTAGACCGGATGACCTGTTTTAAAAGAACAATCGAATACCATAAAATAATTGATACGTGGATAATTTAAATAAAAATATAATTAAGATTCTAATAATTGAAAAAAGAAAAAGAAAACAACCTAACTCATAAACCCTTTTAACCCAAATTATAATCAGCTTAAGAGAGGGCCACATGTCAAAAAATTAGTTAAAACCAATTTATATTAAATATAGAGGGCCACATGTCAAAAAATTAGTTAAAGCCAATTTATATTAAATATTGGCCGCTCAGAATTTAATCTCTTTAAAAAAAAATCACCGTTCATTATTTATTTTACAATTTATTTGTTATAATATAAATAATTTTTAATAATAAAAAATATTTAAAACAAAATCAAATAAAGCTTAGGCTAGAGCTCGTCAAAATCGGACAAAAAATACTCAATGCTCGAGTCAGCCACCAAAATGAGCTATGGGTGGTGATATACGCAGGCCAAATTAAACATTCAGGCACTTTTTTACCATGATTTTTTACCTTTTTACCATAACTATTTACCTTTTGTACTATTCCTACCCAATTAAAAATAAAAAAAAAAAAAAAAAAAAAAAATTAAATTTTTGTGCTCGTGCAAAAACACACGAGCATTTCAACAGTGCTCATCTGATTTCACACGAGCACTGTTGAAATGCTCGCATGTTTTTGCACGAGCATCTTATAAATCAAAAAAAAAAAAAAAAAAAACTAATAATAATCTGCTCGTGTAAAAACACACGAGCGGTTGCAAACTGCTCGTGTGATTTCACACGAGCACTTTGCAACCACTCGTG